TCACGGTCACCTGTCACCCACTGCAGAACGAGCCTTTTATTTTAAAATTCCTTGTTGAGTCGTGAGGATTAGAGATTTATTTGACTCTACAAACATATTGTGGTTTTCCGACTCATACTTAATAAAATAATAATCTGCAGTGAACGCATTCTTAACCACTGTTTGAAAATCGTCCATGTTGCCAATTCAACTAAATAAAAAGATTTCATTAACACTCATTTTCAAAATGAAAAAGTAAATGAGCAACCTCCGATCCATCTAAGTTTTGAGATCTACGTGTCTGATGATTTAAATCTGCCAGTGTACATTTATAAATATCTGTTTATGATCTTTTATATAACTCGCCTCCAAAAAAACTTAACACTGTTTGACGATACATTCTCAGTCCACTAATAGATTTAAAAACTGCCGTTTGTTGCGCGACCACCTCACCACTGCCACAAGTGTTACTCTCGCCGATGCGAGATTTTTTTTACGTAATATGTCTTGCAAAAATCGCCATCCACAACAATCGTAGTAAAAAAAATGTTCCACCATTCCACTTGAAAACTTCAGAAACTTCAATACAATTGGTAAACAATTCAGTAGATGTTAATGTAAATATGTATTGTCACAGTCTAAGGCCTGCTTATCCTTATCGCAATTGAGAGGGCCACAGAACTCACACTGGACAGGGGGTTATTTCACTGCTAGGATGGGGTAAACAAGACAATAGTATAGGAAATGAAATACACATACACCAAAATATCGAGTTAAAGCTCCTGGCTTTAATACTTCTCAAATTAATTAAAAGAAAACACAGAAAATACAATGAATAAAGTCACTAAAATATGAGATTGTTTAGGGAAGTGTCAATGGATTCTGCAACACAACAACGAAGAAATACAGAAATCTTGCTTGCAAAGGAAGCTGTTATTCTGGAGGGCACCGCTGGAAGCAGAAGATCGCAGAGCAGTTCATACAAGTCTCACAGAATGATGGTTGAAGCCTGTATCACTTGATTCACAATATCTCAATACCTACACACAGCATACACAGTAGAAATGATGAACCCCAAACTGTTCTCGGACTTTTCAATTTATAGGCATAATTAAATGACACCACTTGGGTTTCCACATAAGCCAATCAGAATGTTAGGTTGCTAGCAGCTGTGTAACGTAGGCAACTCAGTAGATAATATAAACATCCTTTGTTATTCAAATAACAGCACACATGGTAGATTCCAATTCTCCCTCCAAACTTGTAGACACCCCTTGTTATATTAATCACAGCACACCTGGTAGATTCCAACTGTCCTTCCTGAGTTGAAAACAAGTATGACCTGTCAATCACCATTATGACAGTTTTCATACAGCAATGCACACCGTTCATATGTATATATAGGCTGGTAGTCGATTATTCCAGGTGAGAGTGCTCGATACTAAACGATGAGTTTGTAGAGCAGATTTACATACGTGGTCAGAGAAATTAAGAGACGACGACATGAGTAAAGTTCACTCTACAGTACTGTTTCGTAAAGTACATGGAGTACCTCACTCTACAGGGGTTAAGACTTTATTAAATAAACCACCGAAACAGACTACGTTATAAGCGCTACAGATTTGCATAACAATGGAGTGTGTTTATGATATTAAAACTAGTTGTTGCATAGCAACGATTTGACTCTGTGTCTACAGGAAGAAAACAGCTCATTTCTTTTATTTAAACTACAGTAATGTGGTTGGAAAATTGTAATATATTTCTCTCTAATACATAAGTTGCAACGTTTGCTTGAAGTATTGTATGGTGCAGCACGCGATAACACACTCCATTTGATGTTGTAATCGATGTTATTGTCTTTTAATGACCAAGCGTATTTACTGAGCTCTGTTGCGTTTCTCAATGATTGGTTGCGTAGCGATGCAGTGTGGTTTCTGTACCGGGTTTTAAATTCATTTCCTGTTAGTCCCACATATGTTTCACACTTGTGTGTCTTGCGTCTGATATTAGCTTGGTAAACCAAGGCGATTGTAAACAATTTCGTCTAGGGGC